GGTAGAATGCAGGCACAGAGAAGCTGAGTATCTGGGCCTAGGTCACACAGCTGGTGAGGGCAGAGCTGAGAGCCGAACCCACTGTGGTCCAGTCTGGAGACACATGCTGTGCACCATGAGATGCTGACCCCGAAGGGACAGCAAGGAGAGAGTGAGGCAGACCAAGTGCCCCAGACCGAGCCACGCGCTTGTCCACGCACACATACACGTCCCTCCCAGGATTTAACAGACAGGAAACCGGGAGAGGAGCCAAGAGAAGAGGGGGAGGAGGGTGGGCGCCTACTGGGGGAAAGGCCGCACTTCCCAGGGGTCCAGGGAACTCCCTTCCCCGACGAGTCTGTCTCAAATCCTAGATTCTCTCCCTGGGCAGGACCCTAACCAGACTGGCTCCAGGCCTATACCTTTCCAGGGGTTGAGTTCCCATGGCTGAGGGTAGGAGTTCTCTGTGGCCCTCCTGGACCCTCTCTGATTTCACTGACAAGGAGGTAACGAGGTATGCGGGCTTCAGAGTTGTTTGGAGACAGAATTTATTAGAACAGGAGGCAAAAAAATGCCATGGAGGTTGGTGCTGACATCCCCATAGCGCTAAGAACAATTTGTCCATCTCATCTCTTGTCACGAAAGTAGAAGATTTGTCAACCAGTTACTCCTGTCTGCTTTTCACTCTAGCTCTCGGGGAGCATGAGGGGTTGGTAACTTTCCTCTGAAGCCCCCTCAGAGCTGGGGCATCAAGGGCGTGGTTGCTACATTTGTCCTGTGGCTGTTGAGATGCAATTTAATGCTAATGATTCACTCACACTCCCTGCCAACAAAGGGCTTCTCCCCTGAGTGTGTCTTCTGGTGCTTGATGAGACTTGACTTCACACTGAAGCCTCGCACACACTTCCTGCCAACAAAGGGCTTCTCCCCTGAGTGTGTCCTCTGGTGCGTGATGAGATATGACTTTCGTGTAAAGCCTCGCTCACACTCCCTGCAAACAAAGGGCTTCTCCCCTGAGTGTGTCCTCTGGTGCGTGATGAGATGTGACTTTTGTGTAAAGCCTCGCTCACACTCCCTGCAAACAAAGGGCTTCTCCCCTGAGTGTGTCCTCTGGTGCATGGTGAGACTTGACTTTTCATTGAACCCTCGCTCACACTCCCTGCAAACAAAGGGCTTCTCCCCTGAGTGTGTCCTCTGGTGCATGGTGAGACTTGACTTTTCATTGAACCCTCGCTCACACTCCCTGCAAACAAAGGGCTTCTCCCCTGAGTGTGTCCTCTGGTGCATGGTGAGACTTGACTTTTCATTGAACCCTCGCTCACACTCCCTGCAAACAAAGGGCTTCTCCCCTGAGTGTGTCCTCTGGTGCATGGTGAGACTTGACTTTTCATTGAACCCTCGCTCACACTCCCTGCAAACAAAGGGCTTCTCCCCTGAGTGTGTCCTCTGGTGCATGGTGAGACTTGACTTTTCATTGAACCCTCGCTCACACTCCCTGCAAACAAAGGGCTTCTCCCCTGAGTGTGTCCTCTGGTGCATGGTGAGACTTGACTTTTCATTGAACCCTCGCTCACACTCCCTGCAAACAAAGGGCTTCTCCCCTGAGTGTGTCCTCTGGTGCATGGTGAGACTTGACTTTTCATTGAACCCTCGCTCACACTCCCTGCAAACAAAGGGCTTCTCCCCTGAGTGTGTCCTCTGGTGCATGGTGAGACTTGACTTTTCATTGAACCCTCGCTCACACTCCCTGCAAACAAAGGGCTTCTCCCCTGAGTGTGTCCTCTGGTGCATGGTGAGACTTGACTTTTCATTGAACCCTCGCTCACACTCCCTGCAAACAAAGGGCTTCTCCCCTGAGTGTGTCCTCTGGTGCATGGTGAGACTTGACTTTTCATTGAACCCTCGCTCACACTCCCTGCAAACAAAGGGCTTCTCCCCTGAGTGTGTCCTCTGGTGCATGGTGAGACTTGACTTTTCATTGAACCCTCGCTCACACTCCCTGCAAACAAAGGGCTTCTCCCCTGAGTGTGTCCTCTGGTGCGTGATGAGACTTGACTTTTCACTGAACCCTCGTGCACACTCCCTGCAAACAAAGGGCTTCTCCCCTGAGTGTGTCCTCTGGTGTCTGATGAGATGTGACTTTTGTGTAAAGCCTCGCTCACACTCGCTGCAAACAAAGGGCTTCTCCCCTGAGTGTGTCCTCTGGTGCATGATGAGATGTGACCCATCATCAAAGCCATGCTCACACCCTCCGTACTTGACTATTACAATTCTTGACGCTCCTACTCCCACAGATGATTTCCCTGTGTTCTCTGGATTCACTTTCTGGCTTGTGCTGGGCTCTGCCTCCATCATTTGCTCACACTCCCTAGGGCTCCCCATTTGTCCTTTGGGTGGTTTGGAAAAGGCCCTAAAAATCTTCCTCTGCCTGTTCCTTTCAAGCAAAGGTTTGGACCTTTCTTTGACCTCTTGACCTTCAGCTTTGTCATTCCAGCTGCGTGGGTCATTGTGCTGCTGCTGACTCTGATCCTCTGGATGGGGCTCCTTAGATTGGAGGTGTTTTCTCGCAGATATTCCTGGGAGGCTCTGAGAGGGGTGACTGCGTTTCATGTGCTGGCTGAGGAATTTCTGACCGGAGAAGGCCAGAGAGCAGGAAGGGCACGGATGGATCGCTGGCTTTGGTTCTGCTGGAAGAGAGAATTTTGGTCAGGGCAGATGCCGACAAGGCTGCCTGGGCGTATGCTCGTCTCCTGTAAGATCTGCCCACTAATCACTCCTGTTGTGTGGACAGTGCAAGCTCTGTCTCCCACAAAGTGCTCCTCTGAAGTCTGTCTTTTCATTCCATTTTTATGCCCTACATCATCTTCAGAAACCCGGAAAGCCCAGTCGAGGGCCTTTTCTACGTATGGCCCAGACTACAGACTTTGAAGAAGCATCCGAGGCAGTTTGGCTCCTCGTGGAGATGGAGCTTCGGTACCTTTCCCCACATGCAAATATCTTGTAAGTTATGATGTTAAAGAGAAAAACCACAGGCCCAAAAATGGTGCCACACATGCTAATAGCCCTGAAACCAAACCTAGATTTTATACCTCATTGAATTATAGTTTCAACCTCTTCCAGAAACTTAATCTCTATTAATCAGTCTGGAATTTTCTGGTCACTCCATCTGGCCCCATAGGAGGAAGAGGCAATCTGCATGATAAAAACTCTCCCCCGAAAAGATGGCCCAGCTCAGGAATAACCCTTTCTTTTCCTTTGCTAGGAGCTCCCTTTCTTCCTGTAGAAATCTTGCAGTTGGTAAAACCCCTCAGAGCACCCTTGAAGTTGCAGGTGGACTGCTGCTGATTCCTGAGTAAATCCAAGCAGATCTTCAGATTTACTCTGTTGAATTTGGTTTCTTAAGAGCCAGATCACTGTGACAGTGTCTGCAGCCATTTTATTCTACTGAGAGATGAGAACACTCTGGGTGACTTGGTGGAATTGTTGTTGGTGATATCACACGATGGGAAAAGGATCTGTTAAGTCAGGAGCCACTCAGCCTGGAGACCCACAAGCGTGGAAGGCAGATGGTGTAGTGGTTAAAGGGAGCGTGGGGGAGTAAACCCGAACCGAGCCTCCCATTCAAAAAGACACGTTTGACTGAGGGCCTCTATGTGCCTGGATCTCCATCAGGAAGTGGGATTCAGATTGGACAAGACAGAGCAGTCCAGGTCCCACTGACTGAGAAAGGGTTTCAATCTAAAATGGAATGGGAGGATACGAAATGGAAAATTACACACACGTCCTCAAAGGATGGAGCTGAAGTGGGAGACAGATTTCTCGTAAAAGACAGGTTCACAAAAGACTAAGACTTATCTCCTGACCAGTGAACATCCACCAAGAATCTCTCCCCACCCTCAAGCCAGTGAGCGTCCTGCCTGGACTCCGGCTGGACTCCCCCCTTTGCGCTCCTTGCCCATGAACTCGGCCTGCTCCAAGCCCTCGACAGCCTCTCCTGTATCATGCGTTTCCATAATTGCCATTCCTCTGCGATCTCAAAGAAACTCAACTTCTGGGAACTGGAGCTGCCTCAGTTTACCTCGTCATCTAGGCTGAGAGAATGTAGGACTCTCGCTCCCGCTACCCCGCCTAGGTCATGAACCGCTTCTCTCTCAGTGTTCCACCGATCATAAAGTGAAAATATGTCCTTCCTCAAGCCTCACAGCAAGTAGTCGTACTTGATTTCTCATTCGATGTTAGCCCACTTCAAACACAACAGGAAGTCGTGTCGCACAATATGTCCCCAACCTTACTTCCCGCAGCCCTGGTTCCCATCCATCTTCAGCCACTCTGCCGTCCTCTCTCACCTGGAGACGAAGCCATCTCTGAAGGCCTTCCTCACTGCAAGCCTGTTTTCCAAACATTCGCAAAGCACAATCTTAGGCCAAAGAACATGCCACTCCAGCTGAAAGTGGCACCATTGTCCCATCTCACTCAGAAGAGTCCCCAGCGTCTTAGATGGATCATGGGCTCTACATTCCTGGCTGCTAGACATCCCTCCAACCTCCGTCCTTACCCTCCACGCTGAGACGTGAGTGGTCCTCGGCCAGTCCTCAAAGAGCCCACCTCTTTCCCACTCTGCCGGGACGCTTTGCCCACAGGTGTCTGTCAATGTTCTCCCCTGAGAGTGCCCTCCCTGAGCGTCTGCCCCACGTCCTGCCCTCACACATGCGCGTGACCCCGGGTCACTGCTGATGTCACACATGCGCGTGCACCTGTGCTTCCCTCCTTCACTCTGAGCTGCTCAAGAGCGATGACTCTGATCATCATGTCCAGTCTGCATTCCCAGCTCCAGGACCCTGTGC